AAATATATATTTTTTACATAGTTGCTCATCTAATAAAGTTAATGGCAAAAAGACTTCCTCTCTAAGACAGTAAATAAATTCTGTCCTTTAAACTATAAAAAAAAACCCACCCTAAAAAATCTGGCACTCGTCCTATGTGTACGTATATTTCCTATTTAATTTAAACATGTAGATTAATACAGTAACCCTTAGTATTATTCTCACAAAGATTTCCCTCTTGCTGTTATTTTACGGTTGTCTCCTACCAATAATAACTAATGTTAGCTATCCATATTTTAGCATGAAAGAGTGTTACACAAATGGAGTCAACACATGACCTTTTGAAAAGATTATTTTGCAATGGTCTGAACAGCCTTGAGATTCAACTAAGTCATGAGCTTGTAAGTTTTTGTCTTTCTGCTGAGGAGCATTTGCAGTATGGATGCACAACTCAAAATGCACCCAGCTGAGGAGCATTCCAGTTGTATGCAGTTTATTTGCTATTACAAATAAAAGAGGAACAATTATGTACAGGTTTTTATGCATTCAAGTTGTCATTTCTCTGGGATAAATGCTCAGGAATACACCTCAAGGGCTTTAAATTATGCATGTTTTGGTTTCTAAGAAATTTCCCAACCATTTCCCAGATTATTTTTTTTTTACATTTCTGGCATCAATGCCAGTCTTTATCTTCACCAGCATTTGCAAATGTTACTATATTTTTTAGTTACTTGACTTGGAATATGGCACTAGAGCACTGAGAAGCCAAAGCAGAGGGAACTCAAGATATTAAAGAGCTGAACAGAAAATTTCAAAAGGCAGCACGGGAAGACAAAGTAAAATATTACAATGAAATGTGCAAGGAGCTAGAGTCAAAATCAAAAGCGGCAAACTTGCTCAGAATTTCTTAAGCATAAGGAACTGAAGAACAAATTCAAACTTCAAGTTACTATACTTAAGGATGCTTTGGGCAGAATATTAAATGATCCAGGAAGTACTGAAAAAAGATGGAAAGAGTATACAGAGTCACTGTACCTACAGGAATTGGCAGACACAGAAGAATTTCATGAAACAACATAAAAGTAAGTGCCTATGGTAATGAAGGAGGAAGTTCAAGCTGCTTTGAAAGATTTGGAAAAAAATCAGGCCCCAGGAACTGATGGTATACCAATTGACATATTTCAACTCTCAGATGCTACTCTAGATGTGCTTACCAAGTTGTGTCAAGAAATCTGGAACAACCACCTGACCGGAAGAAATCTGTATTAGTTCCCATTCCAAAGAAAGGTGACCCAACAGAGTGTGGAAATTATCGAACAATATCATTGATATCACATGCAAGCAAGAATCTGCTGAAGATTATCCAAAAACAACTGGAACAGAACATCAACAGAAAACTGCCAGAAGTGCAGGCTGGGTTTAGAAGGGGTCGTAATACCGGGGATATTGTAGCTAATGTTAGGTGGATCTTGGGTGAAAGCAAGGAGTACCAGAAGAATGTCTATCTGTGTTTCATTGATTATGCAAAGGCATTTGACTGTGTGGATCACAACAAACTGTGGCTGACTGAGAAGAATGGGAATCCCAGAACACATGACCATGCTCGTGTGAAACCTATACTTGGACCAGGAGGCAGTCGTCAGAACAGAGCAAGGAAACACTCAACGGTTCAAAATTGAGAAGGGTGTATGCTAGGGATGTGTCCTATCTCCATACCTTTTCAACCTTTATGGATGCAGAACAGATTATCCAGGAAGCTGGGCTGTATGAGAAGTATGGCATCAGGATTGTAGGAAGATTCATCAACAATCTGTGTTAAACAGATGATACAACCCTCCTTGCTGAGAATGAGGAGGGCCTGAAGCGCTTGCTACAGAAGGTCAAGGACTACAACTTTCAATATGGATTGAGGATCAATATCAAGAAGACAATTGGCCACTGGGCCAATTGGCAGCATCAGGATGGATGGTGAAGAGCTTGAGATTGTTAACAGCTTTAGTTTGCCTGGCTCCACAGTCAACACTCTTGGCAGTAGCCAGGAAATGAAAAGACGTATTGCGATGGGAAAGTCTGCTGTTAGGGACCTCTCCAAAGTGCTTAAGAGCAATGGTGTCACTCTGAAGACTAAGTCCATGGCCTTTGCAATCACTTGCTATGTGTTAGAGAGCTGGACAATGATTATGGAGGACAGAAGGAGAATTGAGGCCTTTGAGCTGTGGTGTTGGAGAAGAATATACATATACTGTGGACTGCTAAGAAAACGAACAGGTTCATCCTAAAGAGGGTTAAACCAGGCTGCTCCTTGGAGGCAAGGATTCTAAAGCTTTTTCTGACATACTTTGGACATGTTGCAAGGAGCAACCAGACCCTTAGAGAAGGATGTCATGCTTGGGATGGTGGGGGGGGGACAGTGCAGGAAAGGAAGACCCTATATAAGGTGGACTGATTCAGTGACTGGGGTAATCGGGGTAGGTATTTTGGAGACAGTGAGATTGACACAGGATAGAACAGGGTTTAGGGCTGTTGTACATAGGGTCACTATGAGTCTCAGGCAACTTAACGGCACATAACAATACAACAACAACAACAACAACATTAATTACTTGCATACCACATCAATAATGAGATAGACAATGACTAAGGATAACAGAAGAATCAATGCCTTTTAGTTGTGATGTGAGAGAAGAGCACTGACCATACCATGAAATGCCAAGAGAACCAATGGGTCTGTCCTGGAGACAGTGAAACCTCTAAGGAGGTTACTCCTTGGAGGCAAAGATTTTGAAGCTCTGTCCCATGTATTTAGGGCATACTGCCAGGTGGGACCAGCACTTGGAGTAGAACATCATGCCTGAAAGGCTGGAGGGACAGTGCAGAAGCGAAAGAACCCTGGATGAGATACACTGACACAGAAACTGGGGTAATGAGGGTACGTGTGTTGGAAACAGTGAGACTGGCTCAGGATAAAGCAGGGTTTAGAACTATTGTGATAGGGTTGCTAAGAGTCACAGGAGACTCAACAGTACATAACAACAATCAATATGCAGAGAGTTCTAGTGATGGTGTCTATAGTATTGGACTCCTAAAAGCTGCACTTCCCTGGTGATTCAAATCCACCACTGACTCCGACGGACAAAGACAGGTGTGTGGTTTATAGCCTCAGATAGTCAATGGAGGGTCAGCTAACGAGTTGGAGCTGACTCGAAGGCAGTAAGAGAGAGAATAGATGTGTGGTAACTTAAAATTTACATAATGGCTAATGACGTTAAACATTTTTCATGTATTTGTGCCATCCTTGTTGGAAAAGAGTATTGATTATTTCATGTACTGGCGAAAGAAGAAACAGGTATGCTGTGGAGAAGGTGCAGACAGTGTACCTTGGATGCCAAGATTATAAAGCTTTGCTAGGAGAGGCTATTCCTTGGAGAAAGACATTACGCTTGGAAGGGTGAAGGGTCAGAGGAGAGAAAGACCTTCAACCAAGTGGACACAGTGCCACAATGGGCTCAAGTGTGTCAGGAATTGCAGATGGCAGAGGATAGGACAGGGTTCAGGTGTGTTGTTCACAGGGTAATTATGGGTTGTACTTGACTCCACAGCACCTAACAACAACACGGCTATCATAAAATTCCAAGATATTCTGAAGAGATTATCTTTCTCTAACTGCTTACTTTTTCTACTTTTCTGAAAAAGCTTATACTTAATATTGGGGCTATCCTGCATTCTGCATCCTGCCCAACTGACCAAGTCTATCCTTCTGCCATTACCACAGTATTGAAGTCTTGAAATTGGATAGACTGTGTCCTCATAAGTATTCTAGGTAGTTCTTTGCCTTTCCATATATATTTTAGAATCTTGTCCATATCTACAAAATATTGAGCAATGTGTTAAACCAGCACAGCAATTTAAGAAGCAGCATTTTTTTTTATACTTTCCAATCCATGAACACATATTAGCTCTACACTTATTTAAATCTTCTTTCTTTCTTTCATCAACATTATGTAGTATTCAGGATACTAGTCTTTTACCTGCTTTGTTAGATTATACCCAAGGATTTCCTTTCTATTTTTTTCCAGGTGTTTAACCTGTTATTATCACAGGGTACTAGCTGATTGGATTTGGCCTCGTATTTAAAAAGGCTTTTGGGCCCTCAGATTTCCCGAATAAAACAAGCTTGGAAGCAGGAGTGGCATCCACTTCCAAAAAAAAACTTGCCTCCAGACACAATGAACTTGGAGAAAAGATGAAAGTTTTGTGTTCAAGACTTTGGTTCATAGGGTTGCTATGGGTCATCTATGACTCTACAGCACTTAACAACATTTTGTTTTTGTAACTGGTTTCAGTACTAGTGCATAAAAATAAAAATTATTTTTGTTACACCATGTTCAGTGGCTTTCCTGAAATCATTTAAGAATTTTAAACATTTTTTTGAGGATTCCTTGGGGTTTGCAAAGAAATTCCACCTCCTAGAATTCTACAAAATATCAAAAGTTCCTAAGTGTAAGTGAATACTTTTCTGATTGATACTAATTTTTAAGAGCATGTTTCTTGTAAAAAAAAAGTTTTCTGGCATCCACCTCATTTGACTAATGGCACCATGACTCCTGACTGTCAGGTACTGTAGGGAGAAGGAAGCCCAGCTAGACCTAGCCTATATTTTCCTGTTTAGTAGAAGAAACACAGAACTGATACTGATATCAAAGGTACTAATTAAAAATAAAAAAGTTGACAATGGCACAGGCTACATAATGTAAACTTCAAAGCTGAGGGAAATATTTCTATAAGCGTAAAGGAAAGATTTCAAGGATACAAAGCAAAATGTGACCAGCAGGTATCTTCACAGTGGGTTCACTAAAGCTTTTTTCCTTTTCATTATCTATTTTCTATTAACAATCTATTTTATAAAATACTTTTTGAAAGAGCTTTAAAAATCTTGTAATTTTTCTGTTCAAAGGATACGGAACTACACTGCAGTTAGGGATTCTGTCATTTAGAAATTCTGCTGCAACTTCCGCCTTCGGTCTTCCAACATCTTTGGGCCTATAGGAAAAATATTTAAATCACCATTCACATTACAGATCAAGATTATCTACATAATGTACTTTGAAGCATAAAAATAAGTCCATGATGGGTTTATTCTTAAGATGTTTATAAGGAGTATTTTTACCTAAAACTCTTTAGTCAATACTGAATATTAATCCTTGCTGATGTTTTAAACAGTACAACATGATAAAGGGTAATTAAATTTTTTCCTAAGTGACAATATAAAGTGTTTTTCCCCAAGCAAAGTATAGCAACAGCAAGTCTCCTGGCCATTTCCACTGCTATCATCCTTATTGAGCTCGAGCATATCAAGGTGTCAATGAAACAGGTCTTGGCTGAAATATACACAATTAAGTACTTTTTAGGGATGCAAGAATCCTCATTCATTTCTTTCTTCTAGTATGAACTGAAGAGTAGTAAATTTTATGTCTTTGTAGAAACATCAACTACTGTATTTTCCAAAAAAGCCTCATTCCATAGGTATTATCTAAAATTATAAGGGGGATGATATTTTTAAAAAGCTTCAATAGGTCACCGTTTATAGTAACTTGAAAAAGGAAAAGACGTAATTTCTTCTCCCAATCCGTGAACAAATGGTATTTACTACTTTCCTCCATGACCCATCATCTTATCCCAGAAATACATCATTTCCTTGTGTACACACAGTCAATAGCTAGTCACTGCACCACTACACATCACCTCTACGGGGATTACCTACCTCTACAATAAAGTTATCATATCTTTATTCTTTTTTGTTTTGGGGTTTGCTTTTTTTAGATTTTCTTTGTCCTCATTATTTCTATTTCTTCATATTTAACAAAGTAAACCATTTGAAAATAACAAATCAAGTGGGCTTATTAGAAATTACATTTTCTTTAAAACTAGGGTTTCTCTTTCTCTCTTCTATACATATTTCCTATTTAAAAATTTAATGGTATCTTTTCCTTTTCTGCTAGCCCACTTTTTCGAGGTCAATTTCAGTACTTCTATCAGGATCTCATCACTATCAATAAACAAAGAACGTGACACTCTCTCTCCAGATCTATATTCAGTGACAGATTTAAAATAACCTACTTAACCTGCTCAAAATCACTAAAATATTATGAACTAAAATCCTCTACTGACTCTTACTTTGGCCCACATTTATGACCTCCAGATTTAAGATAATTTCTGCCATATCAGAACTGAACACTACCTCTATCTTACATATTTCTACAACAATTACCCCTATCTGTTCAGTTTCAACTGGTACAGGATTCTTCTTAATTGTGCATTTTCTTTCCCCTTCTGTAAAAGCCAAATTCTTTCCTAACTTGACTGCCCCAACTGACCATTCAGATCTTGATTCACAAATCACCAGAAAGGCATTTCACTAGGGCCAACATTTCCAGCCAGTATTCCCTTCTGAAACCCTCCAGAGGAAAAGAGCTCACACTTGGTATCTTTAGGACATTATCACCCTGAAAACTTGGTCAAACTCACTGTGACACATTCTCCCCTTCAGGTTTCTGAAGCTAATGGGACAAGACTGCGTACTTTTCACTCCGAATAGATCCAAATTTATATAAATTACAGAGTATGTTGCTTATAAAACTGCTTCAGGGAAGTTTACCATTTCCTCAAAAAGGTGAACACAGAAATTCCGTATGACCCAGCTATTCCAACGCTTGGAATATACCCTGAGAATATAAGAACTGAGACACAAATGAAAACGTGTACACCAATGTTCACAGCATCATTAGTCACCGTCACAAGAACATGGAAACAGCCAACATGTCCAACCACAATCGAATGGATTGAGAAATTACGGTACAGTCACACAATGGAATACTACACAGCACGCAGGAACAACAATTTTGAAAATCACCACCTAACTTGGGAAGGACTGGAGAACATTATGTTAAGTAAATTAACTCAGTCCCATAAAGACAAATACTATCTATGACCACTAATGTAGAAATAGAAAGATAAATAGTAAATCATGTATGAGGATCAAAGAGGGGAAGGGTAGGAGCAGAGAGGTGAGGACGGGCAGGTGGGTAATCATAGGATCACACAATCTGATGGATAGAGGGAGGGGTGGGTAAAGGAAATAGGGAAGATCCAGTGTGAAAAACAATGCATATAGATGGCCAACAAGCACATGAAGAAATGTTCAAAATCCCTAGCTCTAAGAGAGATGCAAATTAAAACAACTATGAGGTATCATCTCACCCCAGTCAGAATAGCAAATTTTAACAGAACAGAAAGCAACAAATGCTGGCGAGGTTGTGGAGAAACTGGAACCCTTATTCATCGTTAGTGGGAGTGTAAAATGGTGCAACCACTGTGGAAGGAGGTATGGAGCTTTCTCAAAAAGTTGCAAATAGAGGTATCATTTGACCCAGCAATTCCACTACTGGAAATATACCCTAAAGAGACCATAACTGCCACCCAAGCAGATATATGCACACCCATGTTTATCCTGGCTTTGTTCACAATAGCAAGGAGTTGGAAACAACCTAAGTGCCAATCAACAAAATAACAGATAGAGGAGCTGTGGTATAGTCACACAATGGAATACTATGCTGCACTGAAAAACAAGGAACTCATGCAATATTATTCAAAATGGGTGACCCTGGAGGACATTATGCTGAGTGAAATATCTGTCACAAAAGGACAAATACTACATAGTGCCACTGTTGTAAAACAGGACTGATATCAGGGTTGGGGGGAGACTGAGAAAGATGGGATAAATAATATATACTGCACTGAAACAGATGAGGGAGAAAACTGTTTAAAAGGGATATGTGATTAGGTATTATTGTCATGACAGGAGTCCAGAACGAAGGCTGCATAGTGGAGCAAACCTGGGGGAAGGGATTGTAAAATAATGAAAGAATCTTACTTTTCAAAAAGAAGAGTGTACTCGGGGGGAGGGGTGGGCAGGGAGAAAAGTGCAACAATGAATGAATGGAAATCCAAAGTTTCTATAAATTTTCATTTAAAAAAACCCAAAAATGTCTATAAACTTTGTAAGCAAACCAGTATAAAATAAAAATTTCATTTTACAAAAATAAATAAAACTGCTTCAGAGTGCCAAAATTATCCCGTAAAAACTTAATCTAAAATGGGGAACAGGATGATAATTTATTAAACTGCCTATCTTTAAATTCAAATGGTTATCAGAATGAAAGACATTAACACTTACCTAAACAAAAATTGTCTATTTAGATTGGAAACATCTATAGTGTCCATGTCTATAACATGAATCTGTCTAAAACCAGACAATGCCTGTGGGAATAAAAAGTCAATTAAACACAGGTTATACTGCAGTTGAATATTTTGGTTTTTCTTTTTTTATTGTATTGCTAAGTCTATAAATTCTACATAATCCTATTAAGTAGTTAAAATGATCTTGAAAGATATATAAAATTTAATTTTAACAGTAAAAAAAAATCTGTGTTGTTTTAAATCATCTAATATCAGATAATTCAGAATGTCTACAGATTGATGTTTTTATAATTCCATAAGCACATTTGTAAAGTGAGTTATTTTACCACTGATAAAGGTTCATTTCATTTTATTAGTCTTACTCATTAACTTTACTTGATATTATTAAATTCCTATAAGCTTTACCTCAATTACCGTATCACTAAGCACCACATCAGATCAGAGTCCATAACTACAGACTCATTTATCATTCAACATTTTACATTTACAACATTAGTAAAAAGACTACTATATGAGTGCTCTGCAAATTAGTAACATTCATTCATCAGTAAAAAATGTCAGAGTGTGAGTTATGAATAACACTGACTATGATGGTTAGAAGTTACGTTATTAACTTTGCTGGGGACAGGAGTCACAGTGGTTTGGCAGGTTTACAGTATTAGAAGTAATGTAATGATGCAGTTTGGCAGTTATGGCATTTACTGCCTATGAGATGCTCCGTTTTGTTACCTAGTATGGTGAATAACAACAATTTTGCATTAACAACCTTTAGAACCTAACCATGCACACAAAGGAAAGTGGGTGTACTTATAAACTCGGGCACACAAACACAATGTACTTGGGGGGGTAAAAAAGTTTTGAAGAGAGCTCTGGTGGCCTACTGGCAAAAAGCTGCACTGCAATCCCAGAGATACGCGGTTTGAATCTACCAGATGCTCTGCTGGAGAAGGAGAGGCAATCTCCTCCTGTACCAGTCAGATCTGATTTGACGGTACACAAACAAAAAATAATAAATCGAAAAATTTTTTTTAAAAATGTTCTGAAAGTAGAGCAAGCAACAGGAAAGCAATGAACTGCTGGGTTTCAATGACAGTGTCAAGCATGCTAATAATATGACCACTGCCAAAATTTTCAGACAGAAGCAAGTGACATAACTAACTAGAAAACAAATAATTAGTTTTCTGGGTTACAGGGGCCCATTTAAGGAATCCCTTATCAATAATCTCCCACTTTTCTGGCCTCTGTCGTAGAGTCTCTCTCACAAGTTGTTTATACTTGTTCTCTCCATTTCTTTTCTAATCCACTCCAAACAAAGGTTCATCTCATCACACCACACTGCACTTAGCAAAGTGACCAATGACCTCAATCTTGCTAAAGCCAATTCTTGGGCTATCTGCCTCCTCCTTAAAACATTTTCTGCACTTGAACAATGACATTCATGATCATTTCACAATTTTCACTTTTTATTAGTATCTAATTCACTATATTCCATGTTCCTATTGTTGTTGTTATGTGCTATTGAGTTGTCTGAGACTCATAGCAACCCTATGCACAATAGCCTTAAACCCTGCTCTATCCCTTGCCAATCATATGGTCTCTGACACACCTACCCTCATCACTCCAGTCACAGATTCAATCCATCTCATAGAGGGTCTTCCTCTCCTGAGATGTCCCTCCACCCTCCCAAGAATGACGTCCTCTCCAAGGACTGGTCCCTCCTTGCAACATGTCCAAAGTATGTCAGACGAAGCTTCAGAATCCTTGCCTCCAAGTAGCAGCCTGGTGTCTCCCTCTCTAGGACGAACTTGTTTGTTCTCCTAGCAGTCCATGATGTATATTCAATACTCTTCTCCAGCATCACAGCTCAAAGCATCAATTCTCCTTCCCTAGTCTTTCAGTCAAAATTTAAGGTGCCTTACACACGAAATTTCTCTATATTTTCTACTTTAAGAACTCTTAGTAATCTCACACAATCTATGTTATAAATCACCAGTGAACAGATACCGAACATAGTTTCTAAAACCAAACTCCCGATCACTTTTCTCACCACCTCCACCTCCACCAAACGTATTCTTTCTCCAAAGTCTCTCTCCTTTCAGTAAATAACTCAAATCCATTATCATCAAGTCCATTCCGAATTAAAGTAATGCTCCATCAGGTTTCTGAGGTTGTAAAATAGAAAAGGGAGAAGAATGCCTATCTTGGTGGCTGCTGTGTGCAAGCCACCACAGAATTTGGAGACTCACAGACTTTGTGTTAGTAAAAGGCTACAGATCACAATACCAGAGGTTTCTATGGAGTAATTCTATGAACAATCTTACTATGTCTTTCTTGGTTCTTCTCTTTCACCCAACAACAAATTAACAAATCTTGCTGACTCCAACTTCAAAAAATATACAGACCGCCTCTCATGAGCTCCCATTCTCAACATGACTATCATTTTTTACCTGAATGACTCCAATAGCCTTTTAGCTTGTGTCTCTACTTCCTCCCCTCTTCTTCCTTTAGTCTATCCTGAATAAATACATCAGCCACAGTGAAACAGGTCACATGTCAAACCAAGTGATTCATACAATGAAACTCTTTCAGTAACTTCCTGACTCACAGTAAGTCAACTTCATTACAGTCGCCCCAAAAGTCCCTCATGGCCCCCACTTCTCTGACAGCCTCAGCAAGGGTTCACCTTACCAAGTGCTGCCTGAGCTACACTGCTCTCCTTGAATCAAACAGTAACAATGCTCCAACTTCACAGGTTTCTACCTGCTGCTCCCTCAACCTAGACTGTTATCTGTACAGTTATCTGTACAGCTCACGAACCTTTCCACTAAACCTTGTCCCTGCTATAAAACCATTCCTCTTTCCCACCAAGCTCCTTCTCTTCCACCCTTCTTTGCCCTTATCATTCATAAGCCAAGACAGTCACAAGGACAGAGAATTGGCTCCAACAATGCTTGCTATTAACACCTAGAATGGTAGCTGGCATCCTGGAAGAGGAAGAGGAGAAGTGAAACATGTATCTGGTCAACAATATATATGTCGCATGCCTTTTTTAGAATGAACTTTGATAAAGCATTGTCATGTTGGCACCCTTTCAGAGAGTATACATGCATGATCTGTCTCCCTAAAAAGAGATCATATCCACTGAGGCCAGCAACTATGATGACCAACAAGCAAGCACAGAGGAGCTTACTGAAGTTCTGCCTTTTCACTAGGAGTGGTGTTCATGTTTCTTAGCAAAACCAATGGGCTCTATGTTTTGACAACTACAGCTCTAACTAAACCCATTCTCTTCCCTATCTTTGTTAAATCAATTGTTAAAACATGTATAAAAGCTGTTCTGTGGTTAGACGTCAATAAAACCAATCAGTCAAGTCACAAACTATGGACTCTGAAACCATGTAAAAAGCAGTTTCACTAAACACCTTCTCTTAGTATGATATTCATCAGCTATAAATCCAAGGTAGGAAAGGAGAAAGATAGCTGGTTTTCTCAAATCTTATGGATCTAGTAGCATCATTAAAACTTACTGTCAGTTATCATCGTGTATACCAGACTGTTCCATGATATAATGAAAAAGAATACTCAGGCTTAAACAGATTGCAGGCCTATTATAATACAGAATAATTTGAGCAAATATTCAACAATTCTGCAATGTTTTCTGCTATATAAAGTAGATCAATGTCTTATTTAACTGGATTATTTAAATAAACAAAAATGAATAAATTATGTCAGATTGTTATGTTAAAATATGGATTACTGGTTTTATTGTGAGTGCTACACATGAAGCACAAAATCTATTTGGTAAAAAGCAGTAAAGACAATTTTTTCAAAGGCATTATAGTTGAGAAGTTTAAAGTTCTAAAGCTACATCATTTTAATTACTTTATGGAATTTGACCTGCTATACCTCATTAGTAAAGACTCAAGAGAAAAGGTTAACAATTAATCACAATGAAGACATTTCCTAGTATTATGGAAAAAGGTTTCATTATCAGAATGGAGAAAGAATATATATAGATATGTGTGTTACCAGGTTTTTCAGGAGCTCACATCCTAAGCCACCAGCTCCAATGACTAGAACTTTACATGTTTCTAACAAAAACTGGAGAGACTGAAAAGAACAGAAAGGCATATTAAAATATGGGTAATAAAACCATGAGTACCACCAACAAAGAAACTGCTATAAAAGTTTCAAATGTTTCCATGAATAATGCTATCGGGAATAAAAAGATATTATCCCATAAATATTTATCAACCACTGTTGTTATGTGCCATCAAGTCAACTGTGACTCACAGTGACCCTATGAAGAAGGGCTCTGTCCTGATCCAATCTCACCATCTCTGCTCCCCCTAACCCCATTGCCTCAGTCACTATGTCAATCCAGCTTATTCATGATCTTTCTCTCCTGTGCTGTCCCTCTACCCTTCCAAGCATGACGTCCTTCTCTAAGGACTGGTCCCTCCTTGCAACATGCCCAAAGTAGGTGAGATACATTCTTGCCTCCAAGGAGCAACCAGGTTTCACACTTTCCAAGACAGACCTGTTTGTTTCCTTAGTAGTCTATGGTATGTTCAATACTCAACTGGTCCTCAGGAGAAAGATGGACAATCTTCTCCAGTGCAATTTACTACCTCTGCAAACCTGCTACAAGGTCAGCTACGGGTCAGCTCCAACTCAGTAGTACTCAATAAAAACAAGTATTTATGAACCAGATAGTACCAAAATGTCTAAAACTATTTCAGAATTTCCATCTTAAAGCCTCTAATTGCTGTTTACTGTATAAAATTAAGAGGCTACTTCTATGTTTTCTAATAAGAAAAACTGTTTCTTAACATAGGAGCTGTCTTCCTTTTTTCTTTTTGAAAGAAGGTAAAAACTATCCCATTCAGTTATTAACCAAGTTAAATAACTTACAAACAGAGAAATGAAAAATTCTTTTTAAAAAAGAGATCAAATACTACACAAGTTGTTTTAAAAGTAAAAAATAAAGCCTGCTTTTGAATATTGTGAGAAAACCCTGCAAAAAATGAGGTGATAACAAGGAAAAATATTGTAGGATAAATATTTCCCAGCTAAACTATAATCCAAACCATCATTTAACAAGTTACTATTTCTACTGCCAGGCAAAAACATTTCCAAAGGCATAAGAAAATACTGCACAGCATTCAAAGACTGGCAGAACCAACAATGAATTAATGCAAAATATAAAACAAGTAAGAAAAATGATTTGGATATGACACTAGGCCAAATTGAAGAACTGATACTTTATAAGTAACACAATATCTGTATTTTAAATTCTTTATACAAAAAGACAAGATTTACTTTATGGTAAATTTACATTTAATCTCTATAGAATACTTTTTCTTTACAGCATACTTTTCTAAGGTAAACATTGTAAGGGAAAAAAGCAAAATGTGATTAATGGAACCATTTATTTTGTCAGGTGCCATCAGTTCAAAATTCTATGCTTCTATTTAGAGTATTCAAATAATTTTTAATATGCTATTATATTCAATGTTATAAGGATGCTCATTCCATCTAAATTTCAAAATTTAAATAAGCATTATCTATATTCCTGCCAAAATTCACCTTTCACAATAGGGTTACAAAGGGAAGTACTCCAGCAGTTAATAAGTTCAAATAAGTTTAAATTTCAAAGTTAAACTAATTCCTTACTTATATTACATGAGAAACATAAGTTTATGACTCAAATAGCCATTCAAACAAAATTATTTGCAAAGTAAGCATTCAACTTAGTATCTGAAGGTAACTTAATTTCTCAGTACAATTTTATTAGTATTTTTATAAAAGCAATTTAAAAAATTACTATTTTTGAAACATGACTCTATGAGAGGAGTTATTTAAAATAAATGTTTCTCACTTCAGTGCTGGGTTCGAAATCAGGGTGTGTGAAGGGTCCAGATCGCTCGAGGAATTTCTTTACATGGTTCCAGCGACCTTCCCAGTCTCCAGAGTCCCCACACCCACCATCAACAGCCATTCTGCACAGAACACAGTAAATTCAGCTGCAAAAATCAGTAGGAAAATGCCACACCTACAGCCACTATGGTTTCCCCAATTGCAAAGGTGGCCAGACCTGCTCACATGAAAAGGAAATGTTCAACGTGGTTATCTGTAAAGAACTGCTTGTTTCTACTGCACTGCATCAGTTTGGTGAACAAACTCACTCTACATGTCTCCCAGTTCCTTATCAAGCCATGATCAAAGCCGAGATACTGCCTTATCAGTGAGAAAGGGACTTCTAACATTTGATATTTACAAAAGTTCACTTCTAACTTCCTCAATCTTTTTTTTTTCTTCAATAGTCTTGAAACACTAAATAACGGTTATAGGGGAAAATGTTGCTGCACTTCAAAACTGTGGTAAAATTTAATATAATTTATGTCCCTTTCTCACTTTTTATGAGAGAGACTTCTACACATTTTCATCAGAAAGCCTCAGAGGTTTTTGGGAAGTTTCTGCTACCAGGAAACACACACATTGGTTACAAATGCTACAGGCTTCCAGTACCTATACAGGTAAAGTGAGCCGCCTCTATCATACTATACCTACTTAATATTAACTTGAGTCATATTTGGCTTTATTTTTAATTTTGCAATTTCCCAGAGATCTACAATTTCCACCTTCAAATAAATCAGTAATGGTTTGCATGTTTTGGTGGGGTTTTTTTTCCCCTAAGGAAACAGACCAAGTCTTGGTATAAAACAATGGGTTTTGATGTCACAATTGGAACTGTTTACACAACTAATAGTACTGCAACTCTGGGCAAGATTTTTAACAGCCAGAAATCTCATCAGCAACTTCATATAGCTGCTTAAGGTCATCATAGGATAGAAATAATTCACATGCACACAGGACTTAGTACAGTAAATGCCACAGAGTGAACTGTCCCACTGTCTAAGAAAGGTGGAAGGAAAATGAAAGGCAGAAAGGGATGTGAAATTAAGCCTGTCAATTCAATTCTATTCCAACTGGATTTCAGCTTTCTGAGATGCCTAAGGACCCTGCTAAGGAGCCAAGGGCGGAGATGCGAACACCTCTACTACAGCAGGAAGGAGGATCTCTCCTGCTCCGGAGGGAGGGCAAGCTCCTACAGGCCCTGGTAAGCTGGAAATCACTTTACTTAAATCTGCGGCACCTACCATAGATCTCAATATCAGATAAGAAATTAAGTGTGTGGTAAAAGGGAGAAATGAGCTGCTTGGGGTTAACAACCTCCTGAATGAGCCAATTCTTTTGCAAAAAGGGCTGGAAATGAAGGTGCAATATCTGACATATGAAGTTCCCACAAGAAGTTTGCGATCAGTAAACAATGTTTACGCTGTCTGCTTCGAGGGCTGTAACCCGGACCCTCTCCTGAGTCCCGCTCTGACCACTGGAATGGAGAGGGGAAATGAGGGTCCCTTCGCGAGACCTCCAGGCCCGGCGGCCGCAGACTCGGCTGCGGGGCGGGGGTCGGGAAGCGGCCGCGCAGCCTGCGCTCGGGGCCCCCCTCCCATCCCCCCGGGCCCGCTGCGGCTGGTCCCCCACACCAGGGGGGAGGGAGGCCGAGGCCCCCATAAAAGGCCCCGGCCTCCCAGCAGCACTAACTTCTCAGCCAGCAGCTCCTCTATTCTCCTTCTTTTCTTCTCCCTAAAAGAAAGAGAGAATAAAAGAAGGGTCAGCATCACGCTACACACTGGGCGCCGCGAGGGGACGAGGGTGAGGGGACGGGGCGGGCGGAGGGAGGGGCCCCGGGCGGCGACACCGCCGCCCACCGCCGCTCTCTCTCCCGGCCCGGCCCAGCCCGGGCGCCTGCAGAACCCCTGTACTTACGGCTCCTCGCCATCCGCCATATTGTTTTCACCCCTTCCCAGGAGCCCTCGCGCCAGGGGCCCGCGGCCCGGGGCGTGGCCATTGTGTGGGCGTGGCTATGGTGTGGGTGTGATTGTCGGTGGGCGTGTCTGACGGATGGGCTCTTGTCAAGGAGTGGCTGTCAGCCTAGGGCGCCCGAGGCTTTATGCCTATTTCTGTAATTATAGTCTTGATTGACTACACCTAAATAATCTCTGATATGTTGAAAGTCATTAGGATGGGCTTCAGCATGACGGATATCTGGAGGATGGTACAGGAAAGCCTAGGTTCCGACCTGTTGTTCATTAGCTCGCTCTGGGTCGTGGTCCACTCCAGGCACCTAACATCATCAGAAAACGTTGCAGGGTGCACAGTGGTGCCATGTTCTGTGAAATGTAGGTACAAGACATTTTATGATGAAACAAGTGATGATTCCAGGAGCTGCGCTTGGTTGCTGTGGGCTGGGACAGAACCCTCGTCCCCACGTGCAAAGTGGAGCTACCCCGCGGGATTTCCGAAGCCCGGCCCTTGAGAAGTAGAGGAGCACACCTGCCCTTTGTGTTTGTTCTATGAACACCTCAGGAAGAGCCACTCAGCTCAGCTTCAGGAACATGGTTCAGGTTACTTTCAAAATGGTCTCAACGCCTTTACATAAAGTACGCTTTTAAGAAAAGCGCATTTAAATCAGTATTTAGCAATGATAGGGTGGAAAGAGTAGTTCTCTCTTTGCAGACATAATAATATTTCGACGTCGAATAAACAATTTCGTGCAATTGGAGATAACTTGAAACAAAAAACATTTTCTTCTGGTAATAAAAATGCAGTTTTACTAGAAAACCCCTACTGTTCGTCTTCAATTTTCTCCACCTGGGGGAAATCTTTTTTGAAGGAAACCGCCATCTTTCTCCCTCCAGCTTTTCTGTAAGTAACCCTGCTTGCTGAAACTGAAGAGGACCTGAAGCACCTGCTGCAGAGGGATAAGGACTGCAGCCTACAATATGGATTGAGGCTCAATGTCAAGAAGACAAAGATTCTCACCCCTGGACCAATTGGCAACAACAGGATGGATGGTGAAGAGATTGAGATTGTACACAGCTTTAGTTTGCTTGGCTCCACAGTCAATACTCTTGGCACAGTAGCCAGGAAATTAAAAGGCGCATTGCTATGGGAAAGTCTGCTGTTAGGGACCTCTCCAAAGTACTGCTTTAAGCGCTACAAAACTGGGATTCTTTATTCTTCATACAATGGGATTAAGGCTGATGTCACCCAGTCTGGTAACTCAAGGTGTCAACATTTCCCAGTTGACTCACATGTTGTTGTTGTTATGTGCCATCGAGTCGCTTGCGACTCATAGCGACCCTATATACAAGAGCTCTATGTGTTCTTCTATCCTGTGCCAACCTAGCCATCTCAAATGCACTTATTCCCACCTCTCCAGTCACAGAATCAATCCATCTCATCAAAGGTCTTCCTCTCCTTCGCCGCCCCTCCACTCTGCCAA